TGCCCGAAAGACGACAGTCTGCGGCCGGCGGCAGCAAGCCCACCCCCACCGCCGCCCCCATCTCCCCCAAAGTGGTTTGGGTTCTGCAAACAAGGGTGCGAAGCCTTCACGGATGGCGAATTCGCGCAGTGTATCGAGCGGTTCACGTCTGCACTGGACATACTGGGTGAGGAGCTTGAAAGGGGGTTGTGTGGACCGGCGCTTCAGTCGGAAAAAGCCAAACTGCTTGTGAATCGCGCGGCTGCGCTGGTGATGGTGGGCAAATTTCAAGAAGCACTGCAGGATGGCATCGCGGCCGTCGAACTCGACCGCACATTCCTTCGCGTACGTCCAACTGAAATGTGTATTTATGACATGGTGTTCTAACTGGTGGGTGCAGGCGCATTTACGTGTGGCCAAATGCTGCCTTCTCTTGGGCAAGGCTGACGACGCCAAGGAGGCGTACCGGCACGTGGACCTGATACTGCGCGGGCTGAACCGCCGCCTGTACCCGCGGCTGGACGATTACCGTGCGCAGTTGCACGAAGGGCTCCTCGCCGTCGAGTCGCTCGAGTCGCTCCTTCGGGAAATCAATCGTTGCACCGTCGCCAACGACAACAAGGGGGCCCTTCGCGCGACCGAGGACGCGATGGCATTCGCCATAGGCAGCCAGGAGCTCCGTCTACAGAAAGTCACGCTGCTCCTGACCTTGTGGTACGGGAATATATGGCTACAAAGCGGGTCCCCATCGGGCATGTATAACATGTGCTGTAGTGAATTCGACAAGGTGGAAGCGTACTGTACATATCTGGTTCGAAAGAGCGCGTCGGGTGGGATAATCTCACTGGGCATTAAAATGGCCGTGCTGTATTGTCGAGCGTTGCACTACCACGACAAGGTAGGTTCTAGTCGTCACTACAGCTCTGTGTCTGACCTTTCCCCGTGGGTCGTTAATAGACGGAGCAAGCTTTCGAAGTGTTGGAACAACTGCTCCGAGTCGCGCCCACCAGTGTCGACCTCTTGCACGTAAAACGACTGTGGGAGTTGATGGAGGACGTGAGTCTAGCCGCGTACGAGGCGTCCACCCGTGGTGACTACAACAAGGCCGTGTTGCTCTACACGAAGGCGTTGACGTTGGACAAGCACCACCGGACGTACAATGCGTCGGTCCTTGGCAGCCGAGCTACGACGTACATGGCACTCGCACAGTACGACAAGGCCGTCCAAGACTGCAACGCAGCCTTAAAATACCGCCCCGTCTACTTCAAGTACGAAATCATCGCATTGGAATGATTTTAAAGTTGTTCTTTGTCGGGTATAGGGTTCTCCTTCGACGGGCGAGGTGCTACGACATCATGAATCTCTACAAGGAAAGCGTGGCGGATTATGACGAGTACATGGCCAAAGCCAAGGTGACCCCCGACGACCTGCGTCACGTTCGTCGAGAGCGCGATCAAGTCCAGGAGGACTGGGACAGATCCAAATATCGACGGGATGGCTGGGACAACGACTTTCCGTATTCGTCGCATCAACGAGTACCCAACGAGCAGCACAGGAACAAGGCACACGAGCACGCAGCAGGAGCCAATCAAAATGGGCCGCTAAGGCCGCCCTATGTCCCGCCTTCACCAACGCATTATCAAGTGCTACGAGTGCCCAGCACTGCAACCCAAGACGAGATCAAAAAGTCGTATCGGAAGCTGGCCCTTGTGTACCATCCAGGTGATTTGGTTTCTTGTCGACGTGTTCTAACTCCGATGTATAGACAAAGCCAAAACTGCACAAGACGGCGAACTGTTCAAGTACATGTCGGCCGCCTACGGAGTTCTGTCGGACAAGCAGCTCAAAGCTGCCTACGACATGGAGCTGCGATACCGTGGCCACTAGTGTCATAACTATCTCTTCGCCCAAAGTGTAGAGCTAACAAACTGGTTTCAAACGTTGTTATTTCGACATAGTACTTTTTCGTTGCCGGGAAGACTATGGAACAACGCCAGCAGGCCTTGAGTCGGCGCCGCACTCGGCGTTTTTCGCTGACGTACTCGTGGACATCGTCGAGGCTCGAACACCCACCCAAAGCACCACGGTAGCAGCACTTCGCGCCTGCCTTGCAGTGTACGTTCGCTTGTGAGCCTTGTGAAACTGGATGAACTTGATGGCACTTCTAACGACGGCGCCGTGTGATCCATGTTAGACAATTGCTTAAACAAGCTAGGTACAGGCGTAGGAAGGGTTGAGAGCAAACGGATTGATGGGTTCGAGCACTCGTGGGGCAGTACGCGGGGCTTCGAAGGGGGCAGGGTAGACGGCGTGACCGAGAGGGGAGGCACCTGTTTGGGCGTCAATTGGTTGCGGGAGAACGAGATGAAGTCTGGTAACAGTCGCTTCTTCGGCCGGCCATTGCGTTGCTGCTGCTTCCCAACTCGGGCTCATCCTGCCATTTCAAGGTGTCGTCATCCTCGGGGTCATGGAGGTTGTTCAGCCTACAACACGATTATATGAGTCATCACAACTGCAAGCTAGTAGGTGGTACATGGCGCTGCTCGACGGTCGGCCTTGTGGAGGAGCTGGCATCTCGAACTTGCTATCGACGCAGCATGATGAAGTCGCAAACGAGGGCGAACCCCACTAACGCGAGCGCCGTGGGGTCGCCTTTGACCAAGTCCTTCGACGGATACTTCCCTGGCTCGGTTGTAGGTTCATCATCGACAGTGGTTTCGATCATAGGGTGGCTACTGTGACTGGGGTATCACTTGTTGCAGTCGTGGAGGGTGCCGTCGTGATCGTAGGGACGAAAAGGAGCGGCAGTGGTGGTCGGAGGCGATGAAGTAGACGGTTCAGAGTTGTGGCAGGTAGATGTCGGTCGGAGCTGTAGCGCCGCTGTGTTTGGTGGTGTAGATGTCCTCTGTGTGGCTGCGTGTCTGTTGATGTGTTGTGGTGGTGGAGTGAGAAAGCTGCCACTCTTTGAAATCTTCACACTCTGCCACGGCCATTCTATTTATGTTTTGGTGTCGCCTCTTTGTTCCCGATACAGTATGACGTGATCATACTTCGAAGTATTATAACTACGAGTACTTACTGCAATTAGTACTGGTGCAAAAATCGCATGAGTAATGTTATATGTTGCTCCGGAGTAAACTTAACGTTATGACACAAGCGCGAACTTCGAGCGATACTGTATCCTTCGACGGATGCTTCTCTGGCTCGGTTGTAGGTTCATCCTCGTCAGCGGTGTCGACCAAAGGGACGGCTGTTGTGACTGGGGCATCACTTGGTGCAGCCATGGAGGGTGCCGTCGTAGTTGTGGGGACAGATAGGAGCGGCAGGGGTGGTCAGAGGCGAAGGAGTAGTCGGTTCGTTCAGAGGTTGTGGCAGGTAGGGGTGCGGCCGGAGCTGCCGTCGTCGGTGCCGATGTGGTTGGTGGGCTCAGTGGCGATGAAGTTGGTGGACTCGTTGTCGGTGCCGCAGTGGTGCCTTTATTGTGGTCAGATTCCGCCGTCGGGAGGTTGAGAGTCACAACATGCTGATGGCGTGAATAGATCATCTGATGGCGTGAATAGATCATCGACGTCGAGCGCATGGTGGCCAAGTTTGAGGAGTACTCCAACTACAAAAAAGGCGTGTTCGATCTCGTGTGATCGTCCAGCTCGCGACTCATCCTCTGTGGCGGCATGGAGCGAGACATCACGATATGGACCCGTATTGGCGCCGTGGCTACATTGAGGGTACCTCCGTTGAATAGCCACCCCGGAGTTGAGTACTGGTAAAGTACTGTAGGGCCATCCAGCTTCGGTCCTGTATCTGGCTTGCGACGACGACAACTTTCAGATCGTGTCTTACTTACAACATTCTTTAATGTTCGCAACCACTGGTGTTTACAACCGTATTCCGGTCGATACAAGTATGTGTGGACGAACGATCGATGTTGGTCGTGACGTGGGATGGTTACGAGCACAGGCGGCGCCGACATCGGCATCTCATCACTCCTCTTTAACCCAAAAGCTGTGGGCCGAGCCTGCCGAGCCTACCGAATAACCAACTTCCAGAGGTGGATCTGCCCCTGGAGTCTGGCTTGGACAACAAGGTGGCTCTAGTCTTTGGAACGTGTGATTGCGATGGAAATTGTGTCTAGATTGAGTAATTCTTATCCGACTTAGTAGATTCCACTGGAGCACCTGTCTGGGGAAATCCTTCGCGCCGGC